TTAGGATTATTCATGTTTTTCTAATTAAGTGTTTGTATTAAATAACATTCACAAACATTAATTCATGTTGTAAAAATATATTGTTCACTCAATGTGTTGATGTTAGATAACGCATTAAGAAACGTTAATGAATTTGACTTGACTGTACTTTTATTTAATCCAAAAATGCGCTCATATTTAATTTTAAAAGGGTTTTCTAAACCTGCTAAGAGTTATCCAGCCAAGAATAAGCCTAGATCTGCTGTTCTGACGGACTGGTGTGAGTGACGGGGATCATGGGCCGGTGCTGAGCCAGTGCCCGGTGTCGGCCCGGTGCTGTGCCAGTGCCCGGTGTCGGCCCGGTGCTGTGCCAGTGCCCGGTGTCGGCCCGGTGCTGAGCCAGTGCCCGGTGTCGGCCCGGTGCTGTGCCAGTGCCGGTGTCGGCCCGGTGCTGTGCCAGTGCCCGGTGTCGGCCCGGTGCTGTGCCGCTGTGCCAGTGCCCGGTGTCGGCCCGATGCTGTGCCAGTGCCCGGTGTCGGCCCGGTGCTGTGCCAGTGCCCGGTGCTGTGCCAGTGCCCGGTGCTGAGCCAGTGCCCGGTGCTGTGCCAGTGCCCGGTGTCGGCCCGATGCTGTGCCAGTGCCCGGTGCTGTGCCAGTGCCCGGTGTCGGCCCGGTGCTGAGCCAGTGCCCGGTGTCGGCCCGGTGCTGTGCCAGTGCCGGTGTCGGCCCGGTGCTGTGCCAGTGCCCGGTGTCGGCCCGGTGCTGTGCCGCTGTGCCAGTGCCCGGTGTCGGCCCGATGCTGTGCCAGTGCCCGGTGTCGGCCCGGTGCTGTGCCAGTGCCCGGTGCTGTGCCAGTGCCCGGTGCTTAGCCAGTGCCCGGTGCTGTGCCAGTGCCCGGTGTCGGCCCGATGCTGTGCCAGTGCCCGGTGCTGTGCCAGTGCCCGGTGTCGGCCCGGTGCTGAGCCAGTGCCCGGTGCTGTGCCAGTGCCCGGTGTCGGCCCGATGCTGTGCCAGTGCCCGGTGTCGGCCCGGTGCTGAGCCAGTGCCCGGTGTCGGCCCGGTGCTGTGCCAGTGCCCGGTGTCGGCCCGGTGCTGTGCCAGTGCCCGGTGTCGGCCCGGTGCTGTGCCAGTGCCCGGTGTCGGCCCGGTGCTGTGCCGCTGTGCCAGTGCCCGGTGTCGGCCCGGTGCTGTGCCAGTGCCCGGTGTCGGCCCGGTGCTGTGCCAGTGCCCGGTGTCGGCCTGGTGCTGAGCCAGTGCCCGGTGTCGGCCCGGTGCTGAGCCAGTGCCCGGTGTCGGCCCGATGCTGTGCCAGTGCCCGGTGTCGGCCCGGTGCTGAGCCAGTGCCCGGTGTCGGCCCGGTGCTGTGCCAGTGCCCTGTGTCGGCCCGGTGCTGAGCCAGTGCCCGGTGTCGGCCCGGCGCTGTGCCAGTGCCCGGTGTCGGCCCGGCGCTGTGCCAGTGCCCGGTGTCGGCCCGGTGCTGTGCCAGTGCCCGGTGTCGGCCCGGTGCTGTGCCAGTGCCCGGTGTCGGCCCGGTGCTGTGCCAGTGCCCGGTGTCGGCCCGGTGCTGTGCCAGTGCCCGGTGTCGGCCCGGTGCTGTGCCAGTGCCCTGTGTCGGCCCGGTGCTGAGCCAGTGCCCGGTGTCGGCCCGGTGCTGAGCCAGTGCCCGGTGTCGGCCCGGCGCTGTGCCAGTGCCCGGTGTCGGCCCGGCGCTGTGCCAGTGCCCGGTGTCGGCCCGGCGCTGTGCCAGTGCCCTGTGTCGGCCCGGTGCTGAGCCAGTGCCCGGTGTCGGCCCGGCGCTGTGCCAGTGCCCGGTGTCGGCCCGGCGCTGTGCCAGTGCCCGGTGTCGGCCCGGCGCTGTGCCAGTGCCCGGTGTCGGCCCGGCGCTGTGCCAGTGCCCGGTGTCGGCCCGGCGCTGTGCCAGTGCCCGGTGTCGGCCCGGCGCTGTGCCAGTGCCCGGTGTCGGCCCGGTGCTGTGCCAGTGCCCGGTGTCGGCCCGGTGCTGTGCTCATGAAGGCTAACGTTACTCCAAGCCTACTCGTAAAACGACCCGATACATCCGCACCCGAGTCCGCTTTAGGGGCCTGTCACATATCACGTTTTTTTAGCACAAATTCGTTATTTCAGTTGTAGGCGCGCGACAAGCGGCTCGAAATAGAAGCGACGTGGCGAGATGAAAACATCTCATCTCAACAGGTCATGTGACAAAACCCAACCGCTCAGCTTCGGCCTTCATCGCTGCACAGGGCGGCTTTCTATTCCTCATCTCCATAATAGAGCTAGCAGTACAGCTAATGCAAGCGCTAGAAATCAATTAGTTATTTGCTGATACTTCCTCGTCCTCATGGAGCGCGCAGTTAGCGCCGCGGTCTCCTTTCCACCAGCGCTAGCTCTCCCGTGGCGTCTGTCGTTGCTATGCAACCATGAATGAGCGCGCTTGCCGCGACTACGTTTGAAATAACGATTTGCACGCGCTAAAAACGCGCTGTGTGAACGGCCCCTTATGGCAACGTGACTTTAGCCTAATCGGGAATATTTCCATCTGTGGCTCTTTCCTCCTATCTTGTCAACAAGTGGATTCAGAGCCGCCGCATTAGCAGCGCCGCCGGCCGCCGGGTCTCAGGGCTTTTAGGCGTAAGTGAATGTCGTGATATTATATTACCAACTGATCATGTGAAGATTTTGCAGCGCCGCTGCTAATACAGGGGAAACACTGATCACTAGCGCTCTCTCTCGAGACGTATCTGGCCTGTGTGTGTGTGTCTGACCCGTGTGTGTGTGTGTGTGTGTGTCTGACCCGTGTGTGTGTGAGTCTGACCCGTGTGTGTGTGTCTGACCCGTGTGTGTGAGTCTGACCCGTGTGTGTGTGTGAGTGAGTCTGACCCGTGTGTGTGTGTGTGTGTGTGTGTCTGACCCGTGTGTGTGTGTGAGTCTGACCCGTGTGTGTGTGTGTGTGTGTGTGAGTCTGACCCGTGTGTGTGAGTCTGACCCGTGTGTGTGTGTGAGTGAGTCTGACCCGTGTGTGTGTGTGTGAGTGAGTCTGACCCGTGTGTGTGTGTGTGTGTGTGTGAGTCTGACCCGTGTGTGTGAGTCTGACCCGTGTGTGTGTGTGTGTGTGTGTGAGTCTGACCCGTGTGTGTGTGAGTCTGACCCATGTGTGTGTGTGTGAGTCTGACCCGTGTGTGTGTGTCTGACCCGTGTGTGTGTGTCTGACCCGTGTGTGTGTGTGTGTCTGACCCGTGTGTGTGAGTCTGACCCGTGTGTGTGTGAGTCTGACCCGGGTGTGTGTGAGTCTGACCCGTGTGTGTGTGTCTGACCCGTGTGTGTGTGTGTGTGTGTGTCTGACCCGTGTGTGTGTGAGTCTGACCCGTGTGTGTGTGAGTCTGACCCGTGTGTGTGTGAGTCTGACCCGGGTGTGTGTGAGTCTGACCCGTGTGTGTGTGTCTGACCCGTGTGTGTGTGTGTGTGTGTGTGTCTGACCCGTGTGTGTGTGAGTCTGACCCGTGTGTGTGTGTGTCTGACCCGTGTGTGTGTGTGTGTGTGTGTGTGTCTGACCCGTGTGTGTGTGAGTCTGACCCGTGTGTGTGTGTGAGTCTGACCCGTGTGTGTGAGTCTGACCCGTGTGTGTGTGAGTCTGACCCGTGTGTGTGTTCTCAGCTCTCAGGCCGGGGTGGTGAACATCTACTCTCAGCGGGACTGTCTGCTGGAGCTCGAGCCCAAGCCGCAGAAGGCCGTCCTGAACCTGCTGACGCCGGCGACGTCTCTGAGCTTCAACAGCAGCGCCGAGATCCTGGCCATCGGCTCGCGGCACGCGGACGAGGCCAACCGACTGGTGCGCATCACACACACACACACACACACACACACACACACACACACACACACACACACACACACACACCAACATTAGCTGCATTACAACTCCTTTCTTAAATATTACCAAAATTCTAATTATATTCTAATTCTAACCTCAATACTTCATGCTAGAGGAGCAGTGCTGTACTGTCTCCTGTCCACTAGAGGGCGCCGGCGAGCGCAGTATAATCCACATCCAGCATCGCATCTGTTATTGAAATGAAATGACATTCACTTTTTAAAGTTGTAAAGTGCATTAACTTTTGAAACAATTGTTCATAAATAAAATATTAATCCTTTGTGCATGCAAGGAAAATTAGGTTATAATAGTGCTTTCACACTCTCTCTCTCTCTCACACACACACACACACACACACACACACACACACACTCTCACACACACACACACACACACACACACTCTCACATGCTGAGCGCTTTTGTCACATGCAGAAGATTGTGTACAGATGCTACTAATATTTCTCAGCTTGTTCGTATATATACACTCACCGGCCACTTTATTAGGTACCCCATGCTAGTAACGGGTTGGACCCCCTTTTGCCTTCAGAACTTCCTCAATTCTTCGTGGCATAGATTCAACAAGGTGCTGGAAGCATTCCTCAGGGAGTTTGGTCCATATTGACATGATGGCATCACACAGTTGCCGCAGATTTGTCGGCTGCACATCCATGATGTGAATCTCCCGTTCCACCACATCCCAAAGATGCTCTATTGGGTTGAGATCTGGTGACTGTGGGGGCCATTTTAGTACAGTGAACTCATTGTCATGTTCAAGAAACCAATTTGAAATGATTAGAGCTTTGTGACATGGTGGAAGTAGCCATCAGAGGATGGGTACATGGTGGCCATAAAGGGATGGACATGGTCAGAAACAATGCTCAGGTAGGCCGTGGCATTTAAACGATGCCCAATTGGCACTAAGGGGCCTAAAGTGTGCCAAGAAAACATCCCCCACACCATTACACCACCACCACCAGCCTGCACAGTGGTAACAAGGCATGATGGTTCCATGTTCTCATTCTGTTTACGCCAAATTCTGACTCTAACATCTGAATGTCTCAACAGAAATCGAGACTCATCAGACCAGGCAACATTTTTCCAGTCTTCAACTGTTCAATTTTGGTGAGCTCTTGCAAATTGTAGCCTCTTTTTCCTATTTGTAGTGGAGATGAGTGGTACCCGGTGGAGTCTTCTGCTGTTGTAGCCCATCCGCCTCAAGGTTGTGCGTGTTGTGGCTTCACAAATGCTTTGCTGCATACCTCGGTTGTAACGAGTGGTTATTTCAGTCACTGTTGCCCTTCTATCAGCTCGAACCAGTCTGGCCATTCTCCTCTGACCTCTGGCATCAACAAGGCATTTCCGCCCACAGAACTGCCGCTCACTGGATGTTTTTTCTTTTTCGGACCATTCTCTGTAAACCCTAGAGATGGTTGTGCGTGAAAATCCCAGTAGATTAGCAGTTTCTGAAATACTCAGACCAGCCCTTCTGGCACCAACAATCATGCCACGTTCAAAGTCACTCAAATCACCTTTCTTCCCCATACTGATGCTCGGTTTGAACTGCAGGAGATTGTCTTGACCATGTCTACATGCCTAAATGCACTGAGTTGCCGCCATGTGATTGGCTGCTTAGAAATTAAGTGTTAACGAGCAGTTGGACAGGTGTACCTAATAAAGTGGCCGGTGAGTCTATATATATATATGTGTGTGTGTGTTTGTGTTTTGGGTGTTTGAGATCATATATTCATATTTGGTCTTGAGCTGCGAGGGTTATGTCAGTTCTTGCTGTAATCGGGGCTTGTTTGATACTTTACTGCCAGATTCTTCACAGTAATGCGTTGTAGGGTGATGGTGTGTGTGGTTTGCAGTAACGGGTGTTTCTGCTCTAGGTGCACCTGCCCAGTTTCACAGTGTTCTCCAATTTCCCACAATTCCAAAAGAAGACGATCTTTCAGACCCAGAGTGTGGACTTCTCCCCGAGGAGCGGCTTCTACTCCGTGGCCAACAATAAAGGCCACGCGCTGCTCTTCAGGTGTGTGTGTGTGTGTGTGTCTGTGAGTGTGTGTGTCTGTGTGTGTCTGTGTGTGTCTGTGAGTGTGTGTGTGTCTGTGAGTGTGTGTGTGTCTGTGAGTGTGTGTCTGTGAGTGTGTGTGTGTGTGTGTCTGTGTGTGTGTGTGTGTGTGTGAGTCTGTGTCTGTGTGTCTGTGAGTGTGAGTGTGTGTGTGTGTGTGTGTGGAGTGTGTGTGTGTGTGTGTGTGTCTGTGAGTGTGAGTGTGTGTCTGTGAGTGTGAGTGTGTGTCTGTGAGTGTGTGTGTGTGTGTGTGGTCGACTGAAATACAGCTGATTAGCTCGGCATTCACTGGTTCAGAACCTATTTTTCCAAATCCAGAATAACTCCATTAACTTCAGTGTATTTTAAAATGCATTTATAGATTAACATAAAACACATTTTGGAATCTTTAGATGTATGTTATGCGAGAACAGAAGCGTTGTGTAGAGGAGTGTAGTGCTGCCGCGATTAGTCGACTTAGTCGACGTAATCGACCATGCAAATTAGTCGACGCCAATTTTTTTAGTCGACGTGTCGTTTTACTATTGACCGCATATTTATTTTTGGTCTCCCGTCACAAACGGCTCACTGTAATTCACCTCCACACACCAGTCTGCCCTGCTCTGCCATCCTCTTCCTTCCCCCTCCCCCGCCTTCACTGCTTTGAAAAGTTGCGGAGGCAGGTGACGGTGCTTTCACACTGGGCTCCTTTGCTGCGGTCCGAGCCCGCGCGCGATTGTTCCCGGCGCCCCCGCAGCGTTGGTCTGGTTTCACACTCAACTTAATTCTACCGAACCCTGGTGTGTTTGCGTGCATCTTACGCAATCGCAAACGTACACGGCGCATGATAGAAAACAGAACGCGGGTCAATATATATATATATATTTTAATTAATTCTGTGCTATTATGCGCAGCTGAGTGAACAACACAGGTGCGTGTGTCGCATAAGCCGTCTGCTGCTTGCAAATGGACTCTTTTGAGGAGACACTTTTCCAAATGTGTTGCCCTGATTCCACGGGCTAAGCGCGAATACACTGCAGGCTCGCTCTCACTCGTATCCAAGGTAAATCAGCAACACTATCATCCCTTACAAGTGTTTTATTTAACTAAATACATAATCAGCTAAAACGCGCACCCGAGTCCGTGTTGCTTTCACATTCACGCGAACCGCGGCACGGGCCCGGCATGCACGCGAGTGTAAACGCGAGCGGCATATCTGCGTGCCTGCCTGCTTCAGCGCGACTCATTATAAGGCAGAGCTAATAGGCTAGTCCAGACTCTTTCAATTCAATTACAATTTATTTCTATAGCGCTTTTCACAATACATATTGTTTCAAAGCAGCTTTACCTAAAATGCATGAGTGCATCTACTTTAGCCTACAATTCACAGTGATGTTATCAGTTATGCATTTCAGAAATGTACATATAAAAATGTACAGTAAGCTAATGTATTAATTTAAGGCAGAACAAAGAGCTAATTTAAGTAATGAATACATGCATTAGGGTTGGGCGATGTCTACCAATTCAACATGACATCATGACTTTGCGTAAACATACACGCCACTTTCAATTCAAGTGGCGTGTTATCTATACGCATTTTGAGCTATCCGCGTGTATGTCCACGCCGAAATCTTTTGCGTGTATGTCTACGCCATTAAACGTCCGAGTGATTCCGCGTGTATGTGTACGCCGTTAAATGTCCGAGCGAAACGAAGCAAAATCTATATCTACATCTGTGGAGCGATATTTCTTTTCCTAGGATGGTAGGAGAAGACTCATAAATGGTATTAACCCCAGTGACGGGTAGGTTTAGGGACGGGGTTGGGGTAGGTCATATACATAATACAGTAATATAACATTGTCAAAGGCGTTGATAAACACGCTGAAAAGCGATTATGCGTGTTGATAGCACGCCAAAAATGGAAATACGAATTGGCGTGTCATACATACGCCATTTCATGAGATCAGTCTGACCAATTTGGTGTCAGACGATGTCTACAGTGAAACATCGCGATGGACGATGATATCGGGAGCGGGAGGGGGAGGGGGAGGGGGAGGGGGGGTATTTTCATAATATTCTCATTTTCCACTAGATATTTTCCTCTATATCTCATCAGCAATTTGGATGTCGGCAGCTCTGCAGCAGCTGAGCACTAAGGAGCGAATGTACAGTGACGTGACATCACTGCCAGATTCACACTGCGTGCTTTCGCGCTATGGCTGGCGCTGAGCCAAAGACGGACGCGCTCAGCGCTTGTCAGGCTATATCACAACTGTTCAGTGTTAACCACATAATGTTTATTTTAGGTTTCAGACATTTAAATACATATAATCTATAGCAAAATAATACATTTATAGTTTGTAAAATACACAATGGTGTCTATGGCAGCAGCAATAACAACCCATTCACATATATCTGACGACGGTTGTTATTCATATCAGAGAGACACCGTGTAGCATTATGCCGCGTTCCAGGCAACCTGTAACCCGTGTTTTTCCAACTCGTAACTGGGAGTACATCGTTCCAGGCAACCTGTAACCCGTGTTTTTCCAACTCGTAACTGGGAGTACATCGTTCCAGGCAACCTGTAACCCGTGTTTTTCCAACTCGTAACTGGGAGTACATCGTTCCAGGCAACCTGTAACCCGTGTTTTTCCAACTCGTAACTGGGAGTACATCGTTCCAGGCAACCTGTAACCCGTGTTTTTCCAACTCGTAACTGGGAGTACATCGTTCCAGGCAACCTGTAACCCGTGTTTTTCCAACCTTATACCCGTGAAAGTGCACTGGAACGGCAGTCAAACCCGTGACTTCCCCCCCGTGAATTCGTACTAGATCGATGTACTCCCAGTTACGAGTTGAAAAAACACGGGTTACAGGTTGCCTGGAACGCGGCATAACTTTCATGTATTTCGGGAGAAACTGGTGATTCACGCGCTGTAATAAACCCAACAGAGGAATCTCTGAACCGCGGCCCGAACACGGCGGCCATCTCACGTCACAGATCAAGATCATTTATACGTTTAAGTTTTTTTGAACGACAAAAACTCACTTACACATATTTGAGAATCGGAATAGAAGATAGTTCATGACATGGTAAGCAAGCTTGTTAATATTTAGAAATAAAAGCGCTAAATCTGTCATACAGCGCTATTTTGGCTGTGGTGAATCACGTGCCAAGCAGGACGCGTCACCATGGAAACGGGACACACGATGTTTAGCCGATGCCGTCTAAACATCGTGATGTCTGTCAGCCATCACGATCGTCCATCGGCACAACCCTAACATGCATGTTTGTTAATAGAGGATTAGATTAGGACTCTGACTAATGGTATAGCCTAATGGAAATGCAGATACTTATGCTTAGATTGTTAATACATAATGTTTTTCAACAGGTGACATTTTATATTTTGGCCCTTCAGTTCAAAATAAAATGGACACAACGAAATGACAAACAATATTTTTTTTAATTAGTCGTTTAGATTAGTCGACTAATCGAAAAATTAGTCGAAAGATTGGTCGTTAGAAAATTAGTCGTTAGTGGCAGCACTAGAGGAGTGCTCGAGCGGCTTGTGTGTGTGTGACGCAGGATCCGCTTCTATCAGGGATCAGACACTCTAGTGGCGCTTCTCCACTGCTGGCTCGGCTCGGCTCGGTTCGCTTCTCCACTGCTGGCTCGGCTCGGCTCGGTTCGCTTCTCCACTGCTGGTTCGGCTCGGTTCGGTTCGGCTCGGCTCAGTGCGGCTCGGCTCGGTTCGCTTCTCCACTGCTGGTTCGGTTCGGCTCGGTTCGGCTCGGCTCGGCTCAGTGCGGCTCGGCTCGGTTCGCTTCTCCACTGCTGGTTCGGTTCGGCTCGGCTCAGTGCGGCTCGGCTCGGTTCGCTTCTCCACTGCTGGTTCGGTTCGGCTCGGTTCGGCTCGGCTCGGCTCAGTGCGGCTCGGCTCGGTTCGCTTCTCCACTGCTGGTTCGGTTCGGCTCGGTTCGGCTCGGTTCGGCTCTGCTCGGCTCAGTGCGGCTCGGTTCGGCTCAGTGCGGCTCGGCTCGGCTCAGTGCGGCTCGGCTCGGTTCGCTTCTCCACTGCTGGTTCGTTCGGTTCGGCTCGGTTCGGTTCGGCTCGGCTCGGCTCGGTTCGGTTCGGCTCAGCTCGATTCGGCTCGGTTCGGTTCGGCTCGGCTCAGTGGGGCTCGGCTCGGCTCAGTGGGGCTCGGCTCGGTTCGGTTCGGCTCGGCTCGGTTCGGCTCGGCTCGGCTCGGCTCAGTGGGGCTCGGCTCGGCTCAGTGGGGCTCGGCTCGGTTCGGCTCGGCTCGGTTCGGCTCGGCTCGGCTCGGCTCAGTGGGGCTCGGCTCGGTTCGGCTCGGCTCGGCTCGGCTCGGTTCGGCTCGCTTCTCCACTGCTGGTTCGACTCGGCTCGGCTCGGCTCGGTTCGCTTCTCCACTGCTGGTTCGGCTCGGCTCGGTTCGGCTCGGTTCGGCTCGGTCCGCTTCTCCACTGCCGTTAGTGCCGCTTCAGTGTGTGGGATTATAGTCTGACCGCTATAGTGTATCCGCTCCTCGGCAGCCGACGAGAGGAACGTCTGCGTCCACTGACCACATTCAGCCATTTCTTTTTTGGAAGTTTTCTTTCTTTCTTTTCTCTTCAAGCGAGTGGTGTTAAAACAGCTGCTGCAGCGGCGGCTGTTACTGGCTATTTAAATCTAGCGGGTTTGATGTCTCGCAAATACAATGGCGCTGAGTGACGATTCTGTCTGACCAATCAGTGATCTGCAGTGTGTTCACGTCACATTTTATGCCTCGTTTCCACTGAGCGGTACGGTACGGTACAGTTCGGTTCGGTACGCAATTATTTGCGTTTCCACTGTCAAAAGTTGTGAATGGTACCAAAAAGCTGAACCGTACCACTTTTTGGGTACCCTTCCGTTGGGGTCCTAGCACAGCCGTACGGTACTAAAAGGTGGAGCTAGACTCACTGCAGAACGGTGATTGGTTGACAGAGTATCGTCACTTGCGCGTGCTACAAGGGCATTAGAAGCATACAGTTCAAATATAATACTACTGTTATTGTGTCACGAAATGTAGTTTTAAGAGTTTTTCAGGCGAGAAAGTAGTTTTTTAAAGCTCAAATCTGTGGTTTATTTATAGATTTATGATCATTTGAAGATCCATTCCAAGCAATCACCGGACGCTCGGCGCTCGTGCACCCCGCCTGGAGCAGCCTTTCCTCGGCTAGTCATTCTGATGTTTGCCGCTGACTCTGACGTCTCTGTAGTGGTTAAACATGAGATATAATTCGTCTTGTACAGACCTAACAGGCGATCTTTGGTCTCGTGAATCTATAATTCGTTCCCTGGCCAATAGTTTTGGCAGAAGGCTAAGTGAAGTTTCATATAGGCTATTTGAGCGCTGAATTGGTATATTTGACTGAATTGTTTGCTTTGTGATTAAAGCTTTACTGTATATATGTTTGTACCTTTTACTTATACTTTTATAATGGCTATTATTATAAAACTGAAATTCACCAAAAATAGATCGTTTTGTCATTTATTTTATTTTATTACAAGATCATCTGTAATGTTGTTTATTGCAACATTTGTACCAATGCAATATGCAATTCATTGCCTGGAATATGTTTAATATTTTTAAATTTAAACGAAAAGAGGCAGGCTTGTGTTTTATATTTAGTTTTGTTATAAATATAACGTTACATACATGCAGTGAATATAATCAATAGTCTATGCGTTGCCTGAACCACATTTGTGTGCTTATTAAGTTTAAAATGTATTTAAATTAAATCGAAAAGAAGCAGAGTGGTGTTTTATAACATATTTCGTTTTATTGTTGCCTAAAATGTACATAACCGGAGTAGCAGAGCGAGCTGAGTGGCGCTTTCAAGAACGCGCTGTTCCATCAGCAGAATTACTGGACTCGCGTCCTCGGGATCATTCTCCTGAGTCGGACTTTGTGTGGCTACTTGGTATTGAGAAACGCCTAATGCCAGCGCTTGTTTCTTGTGACAAACATCCCGAGAAGCAAGAACAAGATCTGCTGTCTGTCATCCATTGTTGTTTACTATGTCGCTTTTGTTTGCGCGAAAATGACGTCGATCGCTTCTCTCCGGCAAACACCACGCCTATCAAGTAAGGGTACTGTTGGCAGTGGAAACGCTAGCCCCGATCATGGTTTAGCGACCCGACCCGAACCGTACCGTACTGAACCGTACCGTACCACTCAGTGGAAACGAGGCATTAGTGTCGGTACGGTACGCTTGGAACCTCGACAGGGGTGGTACCATTTAAAGCGAGCCGAAGCGAGCCGAGCCGTACCATGCAGTGGAAAAATCCATATAGTCCAGTTCACGATGGATGGAGTTCAAATGAATAACTTTAGAGATGAGTGAATTATTATATCTGATAACACTGATGTCCTGCTGTCACGTGTGATCCAGATGTTTAGTAAGCCTGTGTGTGTGTGTGTGTTTTCTCTAGGCTTCTGCATTATCATGACTTCTGAAGACGGACTCGTTCCCAGCGGACGCACACATGATGCCAGTTCTCACCGTTCCAGTTCAATAAACGTTTGCTTGTGAATATGAGACCCGTTACACAGTTGTGTGTGTGTGTGTGTGTGTGCGTGCGTGCGTACAGTCGGTCTTCAGAAGAGAAGAGAAGAGAACATCGGGTTACTCAGGTGTTAGAATCGCACTTCATCACACACTCTTCCACAGCAGCTTCACACACACACACTCTTCCACAGCAGCTTCACACACACTCTTCCACAGCAGCTTCACACACACTCTTCCACAGCAGCTTCACACACACACACTCTTCCACAGCAGCTTCACACACACTCTTCCACAGCAGCTTCACACACACTCTTCCACAGCAGCTTCACACACACACACTCTTCCACAGCAGCTTCACACACACTCTTCCACAGCAGCTTCACACACACACACACACTCTTCCACAGCAGCTTCACACACACACACACTCTTCCACAGCAGCTTCACACACACACACACTCTTCCACAGCAGCTTCACACACACACACACTCTTCCACAGCAGCTTCACACACACACACTCTTCCACAGCAGCTTCACACACACTCTTCCACAGCAGCTTCACACACACACACACACTCTTCCACAGCAGCTTCACACACACACACACACTCTTCCACAGCAGCTTCACACACACACTCTTCCACAGCAGCTTCACACACACTCTCTTCCACAGCAGCTTCACACACACTCTCTTCCACAGCAGCTTCACACACACTCTTCCACAGCAGCTTCACACACACACTCTTCCACAGCAGCTTCACACACACTCTCTTCCACAGCAGCTTCACACACACTCTTCCACAGCAGCTTCACACACACTCTCTTCCACAGCAGCTTCACACACACACACACACACACTCTTCCACAGCAGCTTCACACACACACACACACTCTTCCACAGCAGCTTCACACACACACTCACTCTTCCACAGCAGCTTCACACACACACACTCTTCCACAGCAGCTTCACACACACACACTCTTCCACAGCAGCTTCACACACACACACTCTTCCACAGCAGCTTCACACACACACACACTCTTCCACAGCAGCTTCACACACACACACTCTTCCACAGCAGCTTCACACACACACACTCTTCCACAGCAGCTTCACACACACACACTCTTCCACAGCAGCTTCACACACACACACTTCCACAGCCGCTTCATCAGGAACAGCGGCCGGGGGAAATCACTCATACGGATGTATATTAATATAGACTGACGAGAAGATTGAATAAAAGCCTATGGGTTTCTTTACATGTTTTCCACGAATGTTTTAAGATCGTCGAGTTGGAGATCACATGACTTCACTGATCGCCCGCGGATCTGCTTCTGCCGCACTCGCTCCACAGAGAGAGCCAAGAGTTCAGCGGAAGCAAACACTGATCATCATCACGGTAAAAGCAGGAGAGGTTTAATCATCCGCTGAGATATGTTTATTAGCGCTTCAGTTATTAATGCCGGTGTCCGGAAGTCAGACGTGTTTCTGCTCGTCTCTTTCTGTTCTCACTTTCAGTCATTATGTTTATGAACAACATTATTAAGGCTATATACACTCCTAAACAAAATCTTAAGACCGGGGGAAACATTGCAAGTATTCGCATTTCGCGCTGGTGGATCATAACTGGGTTGTAAGTACTGCTTCAAAATGCCAAAAGAACAAACAGGAGCAAGAGACAAAAAATAGAGAGTTGGCAATTTATTGAAAAGTGCATTTAAACTTAAACAGGCTGTTCATCAGCTGATCAAAAGTTTAAGACCATAGCCCAAAAATAAACCTACAACAGAACTAAAAGTGTCAAAAAAGGACTCAGTAGTGAGTAGCCCCACCGTTCTTGTTGATCACTTCAAAAACTCGTTTCGGCATGCTTGATGCGACTGTTCCCAGGAGGCTGCTGGGAACGTTGCTCCATGTGGTGAAGATGGCTTCACGAAGGGCATCCACGGTCTGGAACTGACGTCCATTTTTGTAAACTTCCCTTGCCATCCATCCCCAAATGTTCTCAATGGGATTTAGATCAGGAGAACACGCAGGATGGTCCAAAAGAGCAACGTTATTCTCCTGGAAGAAGTCCTTCGTCAGGCGGGCGTTGTGAATTGCAGCGTTGTCCTGTTGAAAGACCCAGTCATTACCGCACAGACGGGGGCCCTCAGTCGAGAGGGATGCCCGCTGAAACATGTCCACATAGCCAGCCGCCATTTGACGCCCCTGGACAACCTGAAGCTCCATTTTCCCATTGAAGGAAAAAGCACCCCAAATCATGATGGAGCCTCCTCCACTGTGCCGCGTAGAAAACATCTCCGGTGGGATCTCCTTGTCATGCCAGTAACGTTGGAAGCCATCAGGACCGCCCAGGTTAAATTTTTTCTCGTCAGAGAATAAAACTTTCTTCCACCTTTCAATGTCCCATGTTTGGTGTTCCCTTGCAAATTCCAAACGGGCAAGTTTGTGGCGTGGGAGGAGACGTGGCCTTTGAAGACATTTTTTGTTCTTGAAGCCCTTCTCTCGCAGATGACGTCTTATGGTTATTGGGCTACAATCAGCATCAGTAAGTGCCTTAATTTGGGTCGAGGATCGACCTGTGTCTTCACGGACAACCCGTCGGATCCTGCGGCTCAGTGAGTGCTTTTTTGGGTCTACCACTTGACTTTTTTGTCCCATAATTCTCAGGATCTTTTAACAGGGTTCCCGCGGATCCTTAAAAAGTCTTAAAAAGTCTTAAATTAGATTTTTAAAATTTAAGGCCATAAAAAGTCTTATAAAGTCTTATTTTTACTTATGAAAGGTCTTAAATTTTAGATGACACTTTGACTTAGACATATCTAAAAGCTTTCCAGATTAAAACCATCTAATTAGCGTACGTATTTTTATTTATTTATTATTCTATCTTTGTGGATTTGCTAGTTCACGTGACATTTCGCGTCACTCGCGAGTCGCGGGCTCGCGGCAGCATAACTGTCTCCTAAAGCAAACAAAGAAAATTGTTTTGGGCTCAACTGGGACCTGCTCAAATATGAGATAGGAAAATATTTAAGAAAGTTTGGTGCTGAAACAGTCAAAGCCAGGAAAGCGGAGGAGTTAAAGATTGTCTCTAATATAACAAAATTATCCTGCAGAGAATTTGACTCCCTAACAAAGGAGGAAAAAGAAGGGTTGTCTTACTCACAAATCAAACTTGATGAAATGTATCGGCAAAAAGCAAAGGTTGCCTTTATCAGGTCTCGCTCTAAGTGGTTAGAAGAAGGTGAACAAAACTCTCGTTATTTCTTTAATCTAGAGAAATATCGTTCCACCAACAACAGTATCAGTAAGTTGAATATTAATGGAGCTATCACTGAAGATCATCGTAAAATATCAGAGTTTTGTTCAAAATTTTATAAAGACTTGTATAGCTCTCAATTTAGCCCAACTGCGTCTGATAATTTTTTTAACTCCCTTTCAGTGAAGATGATAAGCGAAACGGATAGAGAGCACTGTGACATGCCTATATCACTTGAAGAAGTACAGCAAGCTATAACCCAACTAAAAAATAACAAATCGCCGGGGTGTGATGGCCTACCCTCAGAATTTTATAAATCTTTTATCGCTGAACTGTCCCCTTTTTTATTGAAAGTCTTTATAGAATCCATTGAAAATGAATGCCTCCCCACTTCTCTGACCCAGGGAATAACAGTCCTAATTCCTAAACCAAACAAGGACAAATTATTTTTAGATAATTGGCGCCCAATTTGTTTACTTAACAACGATTATAAAATCTTAGCTCTCTTATTGGCTAAAAGATTACGGTCTGTTCTGGACTCCATCATAGACGAAACACAATCAGGCTTCATGAACAAAAGGCATATAGGAAATAACATTAGGCTCATTTTAGATATTTTAGATTACCCCGAAATGGTAGAGGAGGGTGGGCTCATGCTGTTTGTAGATTTTTACAAAGCATTTGACACCGTTGAACATCCATTCATTTTACAGTCCCTTAAAAAATTCGGTTTTGGTGAGTTTTTTTCCTCAGCTATTATAAGTCTATATAACAATAGTAATAGCTCAATTAGACTAACAGGTGGTATGTCTCCCAGGTTCAATGTCTCTAGAGGCATCAGACAAGGGTGCCCGGCTTCGCCTTACCTCTTCCTATTGGTAGCCCAGCTTTTGTCTGATCATATTAAGTCAAGTGAGATAAACGGCATCAATATATTAGGTAGAGAGCTTATTATATCTCAACTGGCGGACGATACCACTCTCTTTCTTAGAAATGAATATCAAGTCTCTGTTGCGATAAATACCATAGAACAATTTTCCATGGCCTCTGGCTTAAGGCTGAATATCAATAAGTGTGAAATCATGTCTATTAAGGACTGCATGAAACCTTCCATTTGTAGTATCCCAGTCAAAAGTGAACTTGTTCACTTAGGTATCACAATTACCAAGGACCAACAAAAAAGGACTTTATTGAACTTCAACCCTATTATTCAAAGAACCAGAAAAAAGTTGAACCAGTGGCTGTTACGGGATCTCTCCCTCAGAGGCAGAACCCTACTGTCTAAGGCAGAAGGTTTATCACGGTTAACATATCCAGCTCTATCTCTGTATGTGGACAAAAAACATATTACTGAGATTGACAAGCTTCTTTTTAACTTCTTATGGAAAAATAGAACTCATCATGTGAAGAAGTCTGTTCTAACAAATGACTATGAAAAGGGTGGTTTAAACTTTATTGATTTTTGTACTCTTAATAATACTTTTAAAGTAAATTGGTTGAAACATTTCTTTAAAAACCCTAATTCTATTTGGAATGTCATACCAGGTCATTTGCTGTCAAAACTGGGTGGGTTGAGCTATTTCTTAACCTGTAACTATAATATTGATAAAGTTCCGATAAAAATGTCAGCCTTTCATCGCCAGGCCTTCCTTTCATGGTCTCTTATTTTCAAACACAACTTTTCACCCAACAAATATTACATATGGAACAACAAAGACATATTGTTTAAACACAAATCTTTATTTATTGATTACTGGTTCAATAATAACATT